CCCAAGATCATGACCTGAGCCGAAGGCAGATGCTTAACTGACTTAGCCACCCAGGCACCCCTGATTCACCATTTCTAATGCAAAGAGCGAGCTCCTAATGCTATTTCTAAGTTTCTCTCCCTTCGGGGTATAAAATCACAGCAATCTAGGCATGCTCAAAGGGGCTCTCAGATGGCAGGGTTTGAAGATGGCCTCTTCACATGGGGGGTGGCTAATAGGCAGGCAGGGAGGCAAGTGACAGCAGTGATCACAGTGAAGGCTTTTCAGAGGGAAATGTGCATTGTTGAACAAGAGTCAGCCGCATCCAACATGTAGAGATCCTTCCTCTATGCCTGGTTCACAGGACGGAGGCTCAGCTTCATGAAGGAAGCTGGTGGGGCTCCTAACAGTGGAAGACCACAGCATGGACTCTACCCACTACCCCCACCCAGGCGTATGAAATTAAGCAGGACTCTAAACATCACTGGGCCCTAGCTGCCTCATCCCCAAAACTCATGGGTTGAACCAAAGTTGCTCTGCATCCCTCCCACCTGTAAGGCCCACGAGTCCAGGCTTATATTAGTGGAATAACCAGTGAAGGCGGGAGGGGGTGGGCACTGATGCCTCTGCTACCTCCTTTGGAGGTGTGAAAGGGCCAGGGCCAGGACTCAGGCATCCAAGGCACAGATTTAGGGAGAAACTCACTCTCAGGGTCCCGCAAATGCTAACGCTGCACTTCTCTTAAATTTCTCATGCTAGGTGCCTGACTCACCTCACCCTAGTCCCAGCCTGTGAAGGCATAATAGGAGACATAAGGCTGCCACTGAGCAGTAGGGCATGGTCTTGGGCTCCTTAGGGGAGTTTTGTGGGATGAGAGAAATTCGGAAAGGGGAAGGTACTGCAAAGACCAAAGATGATGACTTAGCAGTTGGGGGCAGCCTTGGAGGCCAGGTCAATGGTCACCTCTCCTCAGGGCAAGTTTCCCAAGGGAAATGTCCCTATCCAGGAAGAGACAACAGAAGAAGGCAGAGATCACAGTCACTGGGAGAACTCCTGATCCCATACCACGGGCCAAGGCCAGTGGCCTCTAGACAGCCATTGTTCAGGATTGAGTTCACCCTGCCACATTCAATGGAAGTTAAGCTCTCTAGAGGTTAACTCACTCCACTCTCTCTGAGCTCTGTCTCCAGGGACTCACTCAGTCCTCTGAACTCAGAGCATGAGAGAGCCTACCCCAGCAACCCTCCCACCCTGTCTATAAACACATCCACTGATGTATAATATCAAGTTAAGATAGGAGAAGGAAGAAGGGGAGAAAAGTTAACTTAAGGGGAAAATTATCTATTTTCTGCTAATAGAACCTGTAAATTAGGGCATTTAATTACCAAAGACAATTTGTTCATTTTGGACGCTAATATTTACATTAGCAACTGCTTTGAAAGCATGAAATCTGATGAATTGGCAAAACACTTTTACTCCTTTTCCCCAAATTAATCAAACGAGCTGTGATCAGGCTATTTATAAGTCTAGTTAAGTATATCTCCCTAGTGAGGGATTTTTTTTCTCCCACCTCCTTCACATTTTGTGAGCTCTCATAGATACTCAGCTTTTCACCTAGATACTTGGTACCAGAGGATCTCAGTGGGAAGGTGTTTGATCTATTTCTATATTTAATGACACATTTCATCACAGCAGAACAGAGCATTGTGCCATCTTTGTTGAAATTATATTTCAGTGATAATCCCTTCCATTTGTACAGCCCCTGGTGACTTCCAAGGGGCTCTTATGGAGATGAGCTCACCTCCAACGCCCACTGGTGAAAGCCATAGCTTCCGACTCTGATGCTGACGGCTGATAGGTTTATGTGCCCCCACCCCCAAGAAAGCCTGGATGAGTAAGAAAGCATTAACCTGGGAGGGGAAGGGGCCAATGGATGGGCCCAGGATGGACATCTGAGACCATCTGCAGAGCAAGACCTCCTCTGATGCTGGCCGTTCTGGTCTCAGATGAGCCTCTTGCCCTGGCTATTGACCTTGATGCTAACCTACCCCATTCTGGCTGTTGACCTTGATGCTAACCTCCCTCTTCTGACTGCCATTCTTGTCAGTCAATCCTCATGGGACCTCCTCTCCTTAGTCCAGTGGCATCAAAGGAGAAGGCAGAGATATCAGACCCACTGTCCTCTCCCTTCACTCATTCCTCCACCACTATAACCAGCAAGCCTCGACTTACAGACCACAGAGCTGGGAGAAACCTGGAGAGATCATCTGGGCCAGCCCACTGATGTTTAAGAATGAGGAAATGGGCCCAAAATGTTAAGGCTGGATGTAGACCTGGATGGGGTGTCATGGAAAGACACTGAGAGAACTTAAGGATGGGCTTGGCTGTTGGACTCTTTGACTTTTATTATTCTACTTCTATTCTTATTTTTTTCCCATAGGCTTCCTCTCACCAAGGCTGACTCTTTGACCCTTAATATCTCCTCCCCCAGCCCTGAGAAGACCCACTCTGAGGCAAGAGTGGCCACTGTGCTCCCAGGTCCCCAACACACAGATGGTGGCTTTAAGAGGAGACTGGGTATTAAGAAGGGTGAGAAGAGATGGAGACAATGTCACCAGAGTCCCTGGCCTGGTCACACGGGGTCTCCGTAAAATGTTTTCTCTGATTAAAAGTAAGTACATTATATGTTAACTGAATTGAATTTAAACAAAAATTTATAAACCAATCAATCAATAAACAAATGATAAAAAAGACTCAATAGGTATTCCTGCGCTAGGAAACTACTATGTGCCCAGACTGTTCTAGGTATAAGTTGAGGGTGTAGGGGCCACAGACAGGTGTAGGACACATGGCTTGCCCTCGAGCCATTGACAGTCCCATTAGGGAGTAAAGAGAGAAGTGTGACAAGTTAGCTGACCCATCCAGACATGCCAGGAGGTACAGAGAGTAAGTGCTGGGTGAGGAGGCCAGTGGTGAGAACAGACTCCTTGGGGATGCATAGGCAGGTGTATCAGTCAGAATAGGCTCAGTTACACTGGGATAAGAAATGCCCAGAACCATCCGTGGCTCACAACAGCAATGGTTTGCATCTGATTTATGTCTAACTTGCTCTATGCATTCCATCGCATGCCCTTTTCATTCTGGAACTGAGGCTGATGCAATAGTCTCTCTCTAGGACATTTCTGTTTGTCCTGGTAGCCAGAAAAGAGAGAACTGGCTGGGAATGCTTCTGCTTAGATGTGCCACTTGTCATTTCTGCTCACATTTCATTGAGTGAGTTCCACATCAAGTGTTATTCCGTGTTATGACCAAAACAAGCAACATGGCCAGGGCCACTGTCAATGGAATAGGAAGATACAGAACTTATTTGTGAATGACGATACAATCTCCTACAGCAAGGAAAGCTTCCTGGGGAAGAGCCATTGTGACGTGGGCCTTAAAAGATAAGTGCAATTTAAAGAAGAAAGGAAAGACAACATTCATTCAGAGAGGCAGCATATTCTAGAAGTTCAAAGAGTGGGCTCTGGAGGCAAGCTGCCCTGGATTGAGTTCTCTGTACCTCGTCTCCTCATCTGTTACATGGGAACACTAATAAAACATACCTGATACAATGCTAATAAGACATACTTGAGACTTGTGAAACTAAATGAGTTCATACAAATAACAATTTTTTTTTGGAATGGTGCCTGAAACATAGTAAATAGATACCAATAAAAATATACTAAACAAATACCGGCTCTTATTATTATTTCAGATTTCATCTAAGCCCAAAGGAATGAAGACTCAAGGTGTGTCTGGAGGAAAATGTAGGGGAAAACATTTGTAAGGAAGTAAAGGAATTACGGTAGACAAGACTAGCCTGAAAAATGGGTAGAACGAAGCCCGAATATGGGGGACCAGGGATGCCCAGCTGGGAGGCTTGGACTTGATTCTGACCCATGAATGTACGTGATCATTTGGAGGAGATGTGATGGTTCCTATTAAGGCCAGACTAGCCCTTCCACTGCCACATGGAAATGGCAGTCCCACATCACCGAGGCACAGTGTGGTGCTGTGTCCCAGCATTCTCTCAGCCTGGCCCAGTGACCCTGGACAAGTTCCTTGACCTCCCTGCATCCTGAAAGTCCTCCTCTGTGAGAGGAGAGGTGGCCTTGAGGGTCCATAGGGGTCCTTGTGGCTCAGCCATCCCTATCAGGCTTCCCATTCCTATCCTCCACTCTCTCCCAATCTGCATGGGGCCCAGAGTTTTCAAATGCTCCCTGACATCCCCCCCAACCACCAGCCTTTACCTACCCCCTCCCACCCCCGTTCCCAACAACTCAGGCTTCTTGTTTCCCAGGAAACCCCGTTTTGCCAACGGCGCCCAGAGCACAAAAATGCAACCCAAGCAGTCCAAGTGAGCTGCAGCCCCCTCTCCGCCCAGCAGAGCACAGAGGAGCAGGCCGGTATTTAATTAGTTTGCAATATTACATATCTTTTAAGTCTTTTAATCCATTTAATAAAAAAAAAAGTTAAAAGACATACACACAACTAACCAACTAACAATGGCCCCAATTTGTGTTTTGTCTGACGGGGAGTAATATTCATGTCTACATGAGGATGGCATGTAATTAACATGTCATAATCAAAATGACTAAGTTTGACACATTATAATCACTGCATGGAGATTATAGCATAGCTAGGGGCGATCCACACAGCCTATCTTAATATCATTTGCATAATGAAAGCATGGTGGAAGTAATAGCTTTTTTCTCTTGTTATCATAATTTCACCCAGGGCTGCAAGGGGCTCCCACACTGTCAGATGGTGCCTGTTAAAAGTCATTGTGACTTGAAGAAGGCAACAAAAGTGACCCAGAGCCTTCCCCTTGGAACAATAGCTCCATGGCTGGCCCCCGACGAGCATAGTGGGCCAATATAGGGGATGAGCCCTGAGAAAACTCTCCTACGAACCCATACCTAGCAGACATTTGGACAATCTGTTCTCCCTGGGCCCCTGGCTTACAGTGGGTGTGAGATTACCTTCCGATCAATAGCACATGCTGACTTTCTCAGACCCCAGGCAAACTTGGTCAGATATGCAAATCCCCCAAAGCAGACCCTTTGTAGTTTAACAATTGCTTGAATGGGGTTCCTGGCCATCTAGTGCCATAATGCTGACCTTGAGGTGAGTCATGGGTCTATGAGCCACACTGGCCAAGCAGCCAGCCTCCCATGGCCACAGACTGTATCCCTAACCTGGACAAGTGCTGCATGGAACCAGTTGGGTGGGAGAAAGTATGGGAGAACACTATTCTCATAGACGTCCCTGAATTTGCCATAGGTTCCATTAAAACCTGCCACTCTTATAGCTTCCTGCTTAGCCTGCTCCCCCGGCCCAGCCGGGCACACTCCGTCTATGTTGTCACTCCTTTGCCCTCCCGTTCCTTCTCCTCACCTCCTGCGGCCCCAGCCCATTATGTCTTTCCTGAAATCTCAGGGGGAAGCCCGCCTTTATCCCACCTGCTGGCACCTCCTTAGACCCACCCGGACCTCCCAAAGCACCTTGTACAATAATTACCTTGCGGTCTCAGAGAATCATATTCCTTAAGACAGGAGAAATTTTTTTATTGGGACCTGGATTTGGAAAGCATACCCCAAACAAATTTAAAGCATAAAAAATACTCATACTCACTTCTAAATGAAAGGGGGAAAATAATAATTTTACAGTGAAGAAACCTGGCAGACATCACCTTAACCACATGATCGAGGTGGACATCACCAGTGATAAACTCATGTTGATATCATGTACCCCTGACGATATGATGAAAAAGGCACTTCATCTCTCTGGTACTCTCCCCCAGATTCAAAACTCCAGTCTAATCATGAGAAAACATCAGAGAAACCCAGATTGAGGGGCAGTCTTCAAAATACGTGACCAGAACTATTCCAAAGTGTGAAGGTCATGGAGGAAAAAAAAAAGGATAGGAATTGTCACAGATTACTAAGGGGACCGGATGACTACATGGATCACAGAATCGTGGCTGGATCCTAGAACCAGGAAAGATCATCTGTGGAAAAACCAGGGAAACCCAAACAAAGCCTTAGTTTACTTAACAGCACTGTACAAGAGTTAATTTTTCCCTTTTGATAAATGTACCACAGTTACATAAGATGTCAGCATCAGATAAAATTGAATGCAAGGTATGAGGGAATTCTCTCTCTACCCTCTTCGCAACATTTTAGATTATTTAGTCTTTATTAAAAGTTTTAAAACTTTTTGTAAAAATGTCGCCCAAAAACTCCTGAAACTGCAGAAATCTCACGGGCTTTTAGCAAATTGTCACAGAGTCCAGGCTGAGTAGAAGTCTTTCTTCTCAACTGCGGTTGCCCCGGTTTGGCAAATTCTGCCCACCTGGCTGAGAAGATGTGCGTGACTCCAAGCTCTGAGACCATCTCAGGTTGTGCGTGAGAACGTAGGAAGGAGAGTCTGAATCTATGGTCATAAACCAGCCCAGAATGTGGAGGTGCCTCATTCCATGGCAGCCTGTCCACCAAATATCAAAAGGTCTTGTTCCCCATCTCCTCTGTGATGTCATAAAGACACGGCTGAAGATGAGTCAGTAGCGGTTAAAATGCGTAAGAAGAAAGAGCCTCCAAGACAGCACAATGGAGCTGGAAGGGATCTCAGAGCTTCTGGGGCTGACCCTCTGTTTCTGTAAGAGGAGACAGGCTTAGAGAACTCAGGCCTTTGCCTGGTATCTCGAGGCAGGTCAGCACAGAGCTGGAACTTGGCTGCAGTTCTTCAAACTTCCAGCCCAGGGGTCAGAGTAAAATCCTAGGAGCTCATGTCCAGTGAGGGCTGCCAGGTGGCATCTGGCCATCTACCTGCCTCCTGAAAGACAGGGCACTGGCAATCAATCCTTGCATGGAAGCCAGTCAGGACACCTTTGCTGGTCTCTCTCTTCCTCATGCCCCCCACTCCTCCCTGAGCCCCAATCTGCACTGCCCGCTCCCACTGGCTTCACCGTCCCTAACACCTGCAAGCAGCCCTCCTTCCAGGTACACTTCCCGGATGGGCTTAGATGCTATTTGCATGGCCCCAGAGCTACGGGCTTTGTTGCCAAGTCAGGGCGGTTTTCCTCCCTGCCAAACCCCCTCCCTTCTTTTGGGGGCTTGTCATTCACAGCTGCCTGCCTGTCATCCAGGTCCTGGGAAGGAAATGAGGCTGAGGAACTCAGGCGCAGAGCCCCCCACTGCGAGGGAAATGTTGACTCACAGCCAATGCATTTTAACACAGGGAAACTCCCAGCAAAGCCAGAGGGCTGTGCCTGGGCTCCTGGGAGCCCCGCTCTCTGTTCTTCTGCAGGCCTGGATTTAATGCCATCCTTCCCTCCTGGGCTGGGAAGCTGCAAGAACCTCTCCACCACCACGGGCAGCCCTCCTGCCAACTGGAGGGCCACTGTTCCACTGCTCAGATTTCACAAACCTCTCCTTACTGAACAACCGCCTGAACGTTGGCAATATTATTTGAAAAGCAGTGAAAGGCCCCCTCCCCTCAAAAACATCTACCATCCTCTTTCCTGGTGCCTAGAATTCCCCTGTATGATGTGGATTCCTTTGAATCCAGAAGAGTTTTTACTCCTTAATCCTCTCTCTTGGGTTGGTTGCCAGGGGCAGAATCCACTCCAGCGCCCCTAAGCAAAATGGGGGTGTGGCAGTAACTTCCGGGGCATGGAATCATCAGAGCGGCCTGGCCCCACCAGGACCGCTGCATCCTCTGTAAGGACTGCCAGACCCCTAGACTAAGCCCGTGCCTCCAGTTTTCTCTCCCAGCTCACTTTTAAGTTCCTTTCGCAACCCTTAGCACAGCTAATAATTATACACGGATTCTTGGGACCATTTGCTTCTTTTCTCTCTTCCCATTAGAATGTGGGCTCCAAAAGGTCAGGGGCTATGTGTGCTCTGGCTCATCATCATGCCCTTGGTACTAGCATGATGCCCAAAACAGAGAAGCAGCCCACTGGATGGTACAGAGAGAAGGAATAAATGAACAAGAGATCAGCCTGGCTTTCATGGAGACAACAGCCCAGGGAGGAGGAAGGGGATGTGGCCAGGACCTCTGTGTCTCCTCCTGGGACACGAACAGCCAACATTTCATGGGGCCGTGCAGCCCAGTGTGGTCACCGGCCCCATTCTCCAGGAGCGGCTCCAGTAGGGCACTCTATTCCTGGCATTGCGAGATACAAATCAGTGTGCCTGAAAAGCAAACTGAATTCTTCCATATTAGAATTCTGTTTTCCACCTTAATCATCACAGAGATCAACTTCCCCACAAAGAATTAACATTTGCCATCTGCAAAGGCTAAACAAATGGTAATTATAGATAGCCACGTCTCCACCAGAGAGCCCTGAACTGCTATGGGGTGTGTCCAAAGGAAACCGAAGTTTTGATGGTGTGGAGTCAGGTAACGGGTTTCATTTTTGCGCTGTTCTTCCCCAAGATCTGTCGTACCACCCATGAAAGCAAGGAACGTGGGTTTGAGTTCACCTGCAAGCAATCGAGTACCCATTTAATGTGGCTTAAATATCCGTGTATTTATCTTATGAGAAGTCAAGAGCAGTTCCCTACCTAGCATATGTGACGATTCACTTTAAAAAGTGAATCACTTTTTAACACTTCTCTTTATGACAAAAGTATTTTCAGCGTATGATTCCAATTAGCATATTTTATTACGTATTTTTTAATGAACATTGTACTTGGCGTGGAAGTTAATTCAGAGAACTCCCAGAGAACTCACAGCAGTCTGGATCGTCTTGCTTTGCCTGAGTGCAATCTGTGACTCCACATGTATACACATCCCTGTGTTTAAATGGTAGATTTATAATAAGCGATAATAGCACAGTGATTGCAAAAGTAGAGAATCTGAACTTGAGTTACTTCAATTCTGCCATTCTATAGGACCACACAGAGTGTCCAAATTCATGTTTAAAATTTAATAGGATGAAACAGAATGGCGGGAGCGATCATTTAAAACTGACTTGTCTGGGCGCCTGGGTGGCTCAGTCAGTTAAGTGTGCCTTCGGCTCGGGTCATGATCCCAGGATTCTGGGATCGAGTCCCACATCGGGCTCCCTGCTCCGTGGGGAGCCTGCTTCTCCCTCTCCCTCTGCCACTCCCCCTGCTTGTGCTCTCTCCTTTCTCTCTCTCTCAAATAAGTACAATCTTTAAAAAAAATTAAAAATAAAAACGGGTTTTTCTCCTTTCCTATCATTTGCCTTTTCCAGAGTATCCTACAAGTGGAATCAAACACTTTTGAGTCTGGCTCCTTTCGCTCATTATAATGCTTCTGAGATCCATTCAAGCTGTTACACATATTACGAGTTCCTTCCCGTCTTTGACATTGTATATTCCACTGTATGGGTGTGCCACGGTTTTATTCCTACACCTGTTGAAAGACATTGGGTTGTTTCCAGTTTAGGACATTTATGAATAACTCTGCTGTAAACATTCATAAACAGATTTTTGTGTAAACGAAAGTTTTCATTTCTCTAGGATAAATACCGAGGAGTGGGATTGCGGGACCGTATGATTAGAGTATGTTTAACTTAATACAGAACTGTCAAATTATTTTCCAGAGAGGTTGTGCCATTTTGCATTCCCACCAGCAGTGCGTGAGAATTCCAAATGTTCTGTATCCTCACCACCACTGGGCATTATCAGTGTTTTGTTTTTGTTCTTGTTTTTATACTTTAGCCATTCTGATAGACGTGTAGGGTTGTCTCATTGCGGTTTTAACTTGAATGTCCTTAATGACAAATGATGTCTGGCATGTTTTCATGTGCATATTTGCCATCTATATACCTTCTTTGGTAAAGAGTCTGTTGAAGACTTTTGCTTCTTGGGGCACCTGGCTGGCTCAGTTGTTAAGCGTCTGCCTTTGGCTCAGGTCATGATCCCAGGGTCCTGGGATCAAGCCCCGCATCTGGCTCCCTGCTCCGCAGGAAGCCTGTTTCTCCCTCTCCCGCTCCCCCTGCTTGTGTTCCCTCTCTCGCTGTGTCTCTCTCTCTGTCAAATAAATAAATACAA